ATCTAAAGATTGTTCAATATTCCAGACAGCATAAAGGAACACCTGATAAACCATTTTGGTCTTTTTACAGCAATTGACAAGCAGGAATGTTAATAGAGACATTTTTCTGTTGCATAAATAAAATTAGGTAATACATTTAAGTTCTTAAGTAAATTGCATGTAATTTAAGAGTTAATAGGTCATGATCAAAATAATGATTGTGAACACTGCTTTGTGATTTTGGCTTGTCATGTGGTGTATATTTTTGCTGAAAAGGTTAGGAACACCATAATTATCCGACATTTGATGCAATGTTTAATATGGCAAAAAATATATTTGTACAAAGCAAACAAGTGTGTGCAAAAGATATTAACTCGTGTTTCAGCTCTACACTCTGCTTTAAAAGGAATTTTAAGGCAGGAAAAACAAAAAACAAACAATCTGTTCTTTCTCCTACAGATAGTGAACTGCGCTTTTGATAAAATCCCTGCTGTCTGATAAAATCCTGCATCTTAACTGAAGCATATGGGCTGTATGGACAGAGGCCTGTAGGAGTGTACCACCAGCTGGATTTTGTTTATACATTCTGACTCAAATGCAGGCCTAATAAACCTCTAAACATCTGCACCTGAGCACATTCTTATACTTTACAGGCTTTAAAGTGTGGAAAGGAATGCACACAGGCGTGCATACAAATCTGAAAGGAGAATGCACAGTTGCCAAACCACTCATTAAGAAACCTTCAGGTATTTTCTATTAACATATTTACAGATCAGAGTTATTGTGATGGAACAGAACAGAAGCATCTTTATTGCCACTGTATGGCTTGTATTCACTGAGACTGAAAGAGCCCGTTTGATGCGTCTCAAACAACTCTCGAAGATGGTACAAAAAGGCAAAAATAACTAAACTAAAACAATATTGATCACACACATTAATGGATGAAGGCATTTAAAATAAACAAATAAAATGTACCATTCACATAACTGCACTTCAAGTAACAGGAGTTCAGTGTTCTTACAGAACAACAAACAAGCTGTTCAGATTTCTCTCTAAATTCTGTCCTGAGAAATCAGATCAAACCATTAAATCCAGGTCTGAACGTCTCACTCAGACCACTTTATGTGGATAAATGGAGTCCAGTGCTCCTCCAAAGGTGGTAGTCTGAGTACAATCYGTCCTGAGCCAAGTTGTAGAACCTCTGAAGGACCACTGAACTGAGATGACCCCCACACAATCAGCAGAGGTATTACATGGGAGGAAACAATATGCTCACTTGCTGGCTGAATGATGACAGTTACAACAACCATCCGTGGAAATATTCTGAAGTTTTCTTTTGCTTTTTTGGGGGCTTAAAGTATTAATACTTATTAAAATCCTTTCTAATAAAATAGTTTTGATTGGGTTTTATTCTTCAGAATGGATTACCAGACCGCTGCGTCGTGAGTTTCTTTTTATTTTGTTTGTTATTTTCAGAGTTATATGAACCAGTCATGGTCTCTATAAGCTGTAATGTTAATCACAGAACTAAAGACTGAGCATCATTAGGCCCCTTCAGAACAGAAAAAAAGACATGGCATATTTCCTCATGTAGTATTCACCCAGTGCCTCCTCTCTGGTGTCTCTCCATAGGGTTCATCAGAGCTTCAAAGAGAATTGGACTTAACGTTAGGCGAGTGATCATATTATTGTGGCTATTTAATGTCTAACAGCTATTTTATACTCATCGTCTCCTCTGGAGGTTCAGCATGGCTAACATTTTGGATCTTGAATGAATCTGAGGAAAGACAGATTGTTTATCCTCAAGTTGCGCTCCACATGAGGAATGGCTCTGGATCTCGGACCGTAAGCAGGCCAAGACCGTGACGCACTACATCTCCTCACACAGACCTCTGCTGAACATATGCAGCGCTGTCTGGCACTGGTTCCTCCGATGGGGATCCAGGAAAACTTGTTGTCCTTGGACACTGTTGCCAAAGCAGCATCAGCAGGAAACACTTGAGACTAGGATTCAGGAGGTGAGAGGCCAGGAGCCGTTTCATCACACGATGAGCGAGATCTCTGGGCAGAAGTTTCTGTCCAAGTTGGATTTTACTTTGATTAGATTGTACTGTCACAGAACATCTGCTTTTTTACTCACACATACTCCACATTTGGAATGGTTCAAAGCGTACATTGGATCTAGATGCATTACTGTTGCTAATCTGCAATTTGAGCTGATTAAATTGACTTAACCATGTGTTTTGCTAATGTCAATTAGCTGTAGCAGCCATCTTGAGAAGGAGTTGCCTTTAAAATCAAAACAATTGTCAACAAATGCAAAAACACAAGCAAAATCATTATTGCCCTTCACCCTAAGAGGGACTATCATAAATGTAGAATAAATACACTTTTGAGCTTTACCTGACCTAATCATCTATAGTGGTTTTTGCACACCTGTTTCAAATTAGTTGTAATTATTTGCCTCAATTCTCTGTCCATACGGACTTTGAAGGAAACTGAGTCAAAATAGCCTGTTTGAAAAATAAAATAAACAAAGGATAAAGTGAGATCTAGTTTTTCTTATAATTAGGTATTAGTTCAAGTAAACAAATGTTTTTACCTGCTCATCATGACTCACCTGCTCTTTAGCTATATTGCAAAACAATTCACACAAACTTTTATTGCTTTGGTAAACTTTTGTCGGCCCATAATTTGTTTTTAGTAATACTATAGTACACGATTTTGCAAATGTAATAATTACTCACAATCATCAGTTCATCGTTTACTCCAGCAAACGGCGCCAAACTCTTCACAGCCGCAGTTTGCGTGCCACCAAAAAGCCTTTCGTTGTGCTGCATTCACTGCACCTCGTAATTTTCTGAGTCGCGCTTGTAAAAATAATGATGATAAAAAAGTAAATGGCAAATAATAAAAAAAATACGACAGCATCATAAACTTATGAGCACATTGCTATTTTTGTTTTTCGTATTCAGTATCTGTCAATGGTTTCATCGAGAGGCATTAGTGACAATTGAAATTAACTCGTAAAGCAAAAATACTTCACATAACATTAAGCACATTTAACCAGCGTCGTGGATCTGATTCAGCCTTGTTAGATTGATCTACATGGATTACTGATCATGCATCAGGACACGCTAAAAGCCAAACAAGCACGAAATTGCGTTGGAGTAGATTGTAAATGTTTTTGGTGCGTGTTTTTTTTTTCTTCTGCGCTCTTTAAGTTGTGCGGATGTTTCAGGCAGCCTCTGAAGTCACCACGCAGTTTTTGGTGGCTGGGTTCGTCTTCTTCCGCGTTTACCTGAAACTGGAAGAGAAAAAAAAGGCGGTAGCAATGAATCTGTTTACAAGCACAAAGAGTGACTAAAGTGGAAAAAAAAAAAAGAGTGGGAGGAAAAAGTTATAAGAAAACAGACAGTTGAAGTTATTGTCTTGTAGTTAACCRACAAAATGGGATGTTGTTGCTGCTGCTCAGAGGTAAGTGAGTGAAATGGTCCGAGTGGAAGTGTTTATTATGTGAATGGTTTTTAAGCATGCGGCTTTTTAAGCATTCCCACTATTCCTTTCCTGTTTGTTATTATTGAGCTCCATTCTTCTTCTTCAGCAATGTTTTCGGCTTTTAACTCGCTTTGCAGATTTTATTTATTTTATTATGATTTTTTTGTGCGTTCAGCACATTCAGGACAAAATAAGGTGTAAACGTTTTGAGATATTTATCTTTTCCGGCCATTTTTGGGCTCATTGGAAATGAATGCAGCTGCCTTTAACATCCTTAAAACCCTTGAAAATGTTTATAATGTTCACTGCTCTGTTCACTTGTTCAGCTTTTTTGTAACAACAGAAACAGAAGCATTTACTAAAACAAACAAACAAACAAACAAACAAAAAAACAACAACAACAATGATCCTTCCATCAAAGGAGTGAGCAGAAATACACTTAGTCCACCCATTCTCATGTGACCTTATTTCCAGCACTCCTTGATCATCAAGAAGAATATTCATAATTTCATACAAAATCATGAATTCAAAAAATAAAGTTCATTCCAAAAAGTAGAGCTCGTGACAGGATATCCAATCCTGGTCCTTGAGATTCACTGTCCTGCACATTTTAAAAGGCTTCTCTTCTCCAGTGCATCTGATTTGAATATGTGAGGGATTAACACACTTCTGCAGAACTTGAAAACGTAGTCGAGTCACTGAACCAGGTGTATTGAAGCAGGTAAACAAGTAAAACAGACAGGATAGCGATAATTGGACACCCCTGCCTTAAGACCATCACACAATGTACACGTGATAATATCATTGTTTTAAACATCTTTTATATTTGGACATTGGTTAGGTTCAACATTCAGCCTGTTCCATAGCTTCACCCCACAGACAGAAGTACAGAAACATTTTCTTCTTCTAATTATCTTTCATATGTTGACATACTGTATATCTCTTAACTCATAAACTGTGTTTGTTCTCATGAATAGTTTTTGAATTTGTTCTGGCTTTTATTTATTTTTAGCRTTATGCATTGTCAAAACTGTTCGTAATTTAACTGTATTGAWAGGATTTAGCAGTTATTACTGAATAAATAGTGGGTTATTAGTATGATTCAGGCACTGAGCCTTGTCCTTAGTGGTCTACTTTATGATTAGAGACTGTGGCTATTTCTCCAAACCTCTGTGCATTAAATTAAACGTAATAAAACGAAGGAACAGTACAGAATGTGAAGTGCTTTCCCATCTAACATGTTTGGTTTTGTTCAGTATAAAAATTATTTTGGATATTTTACTTGAAACGAAATTGATGTGAGGTTTCTGTTCATCTTTTTTCTGTAAAATTAGCTTCTTTTTGCTGCTTTCTGTTTCTTATTGGGGTTTTTTCTGTTTTGTTTTCTTTTTAACTTATTTCAGCTTAATATTCTGCTAATTTTAGCTACATTTCTGCTCTGTTTCTGCTAATTTGCCAATTGATTTCCCCTTTTGTTTCCTGCTTTCAGCAAAAATCTTTTTAAATTTAACTCATATTAACAGTTTTGCTGTTAAATATTTTCAGTTCAACTTCAGCTTTCTTAATCTTTCATCAATAAGCATTCACACTGCATTTTCGCAGGAAATGCATRTTCTCTAGTTTACCATTGCAGACCGTGGGCTGCGGGGGGGCAACGTCATGACTTGGCAGCAGCTGTGTGGCAGCTCTTTGTTTCAAACAGCTCAGATGCTTGTTTGTCTGTTGGATTTGTAGCAGTGGTGAAGTTACTGCAAGGCGCTGTCAGCATAAACCAAGTCAAAGGTAACAGCTCCTGTTCTTCATGTCTCGACAGAGTAAAGGTAAAGGTGAGTGGAAACCGCTGGAGGAGCACAGCTGCACGGATATCCCATGCCTCATCATATTTATACTGTTTTGTATTGGAATGGTAAGTCTTTAATATATATAACATATGGTAATTATGTGTGAACCACATTTTATCCAAACTTCTGCAAACCAACCTGGTATCGTCATGCAGATATTATTGTTGCATGATGTCGTAATGGCATCATTTTTAAAATTAACGTAAAGAATGTTAAGTAAATTTAAACTCATCTGCTAAAATCAAAAGAAGCAGAAAATAAGCTAAATGCAGCAAAGTAACAGTAAAGTTAGCAACACCTTAGCTAAAAGTTAAAATGAGCAAAGCCGTGGCTACAACCTGAAATTATATCTGAAAGTCAAAAATTAGCTAATTAGCTGAATGTAGCAGAACTGTTGTTAAATGTTAAATTGGTAAAAGCATAAAAATAGTGATGGGAAGCTTTGCTGAAGCACTGAAGCTTGTTTCGAATAAAGGTTAACTGCTCCGAGCTTTTCAACTCATTCCTCTTTGGCACTTTCTTGCAGCCAAATGTTTAAAGAGCAGCTTGCACCCACAACATGAAATGAACCGCGTCAACATGACAGATTTGACCGCTGTTATGTCATTGGAAAATGTACTGTACTACGTGCATGAGACAACTTTGTTTTAGCAGGTTGTAGTATGCGCTGCAGGCTATTACTGTCTGCTATTGCAAACAAACATATTTTTAGTTTATAGTTAATTCAATAGACATCACAATAAATGTGCCAGATTTATCCAAAAAGCTAAATTAATTTGTATTCCTTAGACAGAAAAAAAATAGACAATTAACAAACTTTTTTGAACTAAAAGTATCCAAAAATACCAACAAAYAAAGACATCATACGGTAATATTTGTACAAAACACACATTACAGACATTGTAGCACCACATAGTAAAAGTGTAAATAAAGGCACTGTGTGTGTACATGTTGGCTGGACTTCACTGTATTCTTGGATGTTTGGTTTTCAGTTGTTGATTAAATCTSTCTTTTTATTTTTTTCTCTTTCTCTGGGTCATCTGCAGATGTGTATATGTGGGTTTGCCATCGCCACAGGAGGTGCTTCCCGGCTCGTCTCCGGGTACGACAGTTATGGCAACACCTGCGGTCGGAATAACACCAGGATCGAGGGAATCCCTCTGAGTGGCAGGGACATGTCAGAGAAAAAGTTAGTGTTATTTGTTATAACTATATATTTGTATATTTACAAATTTTCTGTTTCAACTCGTCAGTTTTGATCTGCCGCCCTAACTCTTAATATTTGTGAATAAATTACAGATTTTACAAACTTATTGTTAAATGTTTTATGTTCTGCACATGTAGAGTCTTATGTAGTTGCATAGCTTTCTTACTAGCCTTTGCAATGTTTGATTTATTTATTTATTTATTTATTTATTGGTGTGGGTGGGGGGTTGTTTCTTTTTATCAGCATCGAGCCTGAAGGCCTAGCTTCACTGAAACAATGGGAAAGCTTTATTGGTGGGCTGGTTGTCCATGGAGGCTTTGAATAAAAGGCGTTTTGGCAACAAAGAAGGCTCTGTCCAATGAGGCAGAAATGTCAACATTTTAAAATATTCTACCCGTATAAAACAGACCCAAAAGATATTGCAACACCTTTAATTTAATAGTGAATTGGGAAATTWATATTTTTGCTTCATATGGAATTGTTTGAATTGAACAGATTATGTCTAAAACTTGTTTTGTTTTTGTTTTTCTTTTTAGATTTGTTTTCTTTCTAGACCCTTGCAACCTCGACCTTATCAACAGGAAGATCAAGTCCGTTGCCTTGTGTGTCACCAAATGTCCAAACATTGAACTGAAGGACTACAGAGATGTCAAGGATTTCTCCCTTAACAATGGTGAGAAAACTACAAATACTGTAAATGGCTCATGTTCCAGTTGTTGGTGCTGCTGTGCTCTGATCAAACACGACAATAAACAGGTTAAAACTGCGCTTTGTGTAACCAGATCAGCTCTAAACCAAAAAGGGCAAAGATGCACAACATTAAAAATTGTCTTGTAGTTTCTGTCAGCGTGACAGTGGATAATTATTACTTGGATTTTATCAGTTGCTGGTTAGAAAAACTTGTAATTTTTCTAGTTTGGTGGGTCCTGTTTAGTGAGGACTCTTCTGTTAGAGTTCYGTCACAGTGTTTTTGCCAAAGTATTATCTATTTGAACACCAGGATCCAGAGTTTCCTGGAAGAAAACCGTATAGCTATGAGACATAATGATGTCACTGACCTTTACCTTCTGTTGTTCAAATATTGTGACTAATCAGTGCATTACAGTGCACCTATATTTACTGTACACACTAAACTACAAACAAAATGACATTTTAAATTATTGTAGTGAAACTGAAACATGTACAGTAATTGGTTGTGTTCTTCTTATTGTTAGGTTCTGACCTCTGCTCCTATGAAATTTCTCCTACAAGATATGGAAGCCATGCAGAGAGATTCACTAAATGCCCAAAGCTTCCTGTTCCACCAAGGTAACCATTTCTATTCTTTATTATTATTATTCATCCGTCCATTTATTCATTTTCTTTACCCACTTTTTCTTTGTGGGGAGCTGGTGCCCATGTCCAGCAGTCACCCTGGACAAGTTGCATGTCTGTCACAGGGGCTTGTCCCTGGGAGTAAATAAAACTGTTTTTTTTTTGTTTTTGTTTTCCAGTAAAGCCCTCCCAGTCTTCCACCGCTGTATTCCTATGGATATTGGCTGCTACGCTGAATTCGCCCAGGGTTTCATTACATTCGTCAGCGACAACACCGTACTGCGGCGCGTCGTCGCTGGAGTGGTGACCAGCAAGGAGATCATCATAGGCCTCTGCTTTCTGGCTTTAGGTATTACTATTTGTTACATCACACATAACAACGAGCTAATGAGCCAGATTTTGTTTTTATATATCCCAAAAGAAAACCCATCACTGTGTTTTTTTTTACTTATTTATTTGTGCTGCGGCATTGTTTATGGAGATTCAACTGGAAGGAAACAGTTGAAGCTATTTTTGTCTCTTGGGGGAAAAAAAAACACAGGAAATGTCTAAGCACTTACAGTCACTGTATCCTCTGAAGTTTAGCCAGCRGGCAACCATTTTAAAGTCTGCTTCAAGTCGTCCCCTTGGTAGAGCAGAGACAGAGCTATTCCCACGTCACTCGGGCCGTCTTTTATCTCACTTATTTGATCTGCCTGGTTCGGGTCTCGTTGTCAAGACGTGACTCATAAACGGACTGTTCCGTGTTTCATGGATTTAGGAGCTGTGTGTCGTTTGCTCTTTTTATCTTTTCATCGTTACAGTAAAAAAAATATAAAAAAACATGAAGAACCCTACACTGGAAAAATTAGTCATCTAAAAATAAGTARAAGTACGACAATTTCACTTGGTAAGACGTCTTGACATAAGGAAATAAAATCCAGGCTAAGATAAATAACCTAACACATTCTGCTCTTGCTTAGCGTATCGATCTCAAAACATCAAAAATAATTTTTGGATGGATATAAGATTGTAAGACTTGGTTAAATGGGGCAGTTTTTGCAGTGTAGTACTAACCAGTATAAACCTTGTTTTTATGACCCTGGAATAAAATGGTCCTTAGATACTGAGGTAAACATTTTTCCACGCTAATAATAACTGATATATTTAAATGAAAGGTCTTCTTTTCCCTCTGATCCAGTTCTGTCCTTGATCATGATGGTTGTTATTCGATACATCTCCAAACTGCTGGTATGGATTCTCACAGTTCTGGTGATCATTGGTTCTGTAGGTAATTATTTTAGTTTCATTATGATGCTGATACAGAACTACAGAACGTTTAAATTTGGTTTCATTTTATAGTTTCTTTTGATGTTTATTTGATTTTTTTTCTCAGGTGGTACTGGTGTCCTCTGGTGGCTCTACGCTGACTGCAGATTTGCCCTTAATAATAACGGCACTTCTGTGTTTGGGAAGGAAGTGGCTTCCGACAACGTTAAGGCTTTGCTTGTGTATTCCATTGGTGCGACCATTTTCACGGTATGTCTGCGTAACAAGAGGATCTGTGGTTGTGCAAGCTTGATGCGTGAAACTGTAGAAGTGTGGAGAAAATATTATGCTTAGACCGTTTTAAAATATGCAGTCAAATTTTACAGGGAAACGGTTGAATGAGAGCACCTGAAAAACATGTAACTTTTTCAGGTTGTGCTGCTGCTGGTGATGTTTTTCATGAGAAAGCGGGTGGCTCTCACCATCTCCCTGTTTCACGTGGCGGGTAAAGTGTTCATCCACCTCCCCCTGCTGGTCCTGCAGCCTTTCTGGACCTTCCTCAGCCTCATGTTCTTCTGGATTTACTGGATAGCCGTGCTTCTCTTCCTCGGGACCTCAGGTTAGGAGGAACGCCTTTGGAAGTAGTGCGACGGTTTGATTATACAAAGTCGTTCATGGTTCTACAGGTTTTGTTTTTGTTTTAAAGTGTGTTTGCTCCAAAATCAGATAGATCTGTAAATGCAAAGTTTCTGACATTTCATCTGGCTTCTGTGACTGAGCTCCCACATGTGGAATGTTGTGCCGGTCTCGTGATGAATGCAGCCAAAGAACCAGTTCTCTCTTCACCCCCTTCTTCCCTTTTCATTACTGGATTTTAAATTCATGCATAAAACAAAGGGCCAGCACAAGAGAAACTTATATCTCACATTCCCGCTTTATCTTTCCTATTCAGGGGTGTTTAGAGCTCTGTAATGATGTATAAATGTGACAAATTTAGAGTTTTTTTTTTAAATAGTTTAGATGAAGTTGTTTTGGTGTGATTATATTTGTTTTCAATAAGAATGAAACTTGTGTGTTTTGCATACATAAAGAACTAAACTTGTTTTGGAACTATGGCGGATAAAAATGGAATTAACAAAACAAAAATCATGTATTTTGAGGGTTTTTCACAGTTGACACTGAGGTTTTTTGTTTTGTTTTCTAACAGGGACACCAGTAAAGAACAACTCCACACTGCTGGTTGAGTATCAGATGAAGGGTCCTCTCCAGTACATGGTGTGGTATCACGCCGTCGGTCTCATCTGGATCAGCGAGTTCATCCTCGCCTTCCAGCATATGACCATTTCAGGAGCTGTAGTCACCTATTATTTCACAAGGTATGGCAAAAGTAGGAGAACACCCGTTTTCATGTTGATTCATTGACACCCAAAGGCAGAGGCGCTTTTTTTTTGTAGCAATGGTGAATTATCTCTTGAACCAGTGTACAAAGTAATCATTGTATGTACATCTACAACCCAATTCAAGAACTGAATGTAGGAAACAAAAATAGCTGAAACTCAACCAACTCACAGTCTTATCCACTTAAGCCAGATTTACACTACATGTGACCCATTAGATTGATTATTATTGAGTCAAATTGTGCGTAAAACATTTTTGTACGTTAGGACCAAAATAGATACAACTCYCTCTTAGCCCTTTAATTCCATAGGGTTTTAATGACTCTGCTGTGACTACCTGCAGGAACAAGTCMGAGTTACCAGCAACTCCAATCCTTAGCTCCATGTTACGCACTATTCGCTATCACCTGGGCACTCTGGCCAAAGGCTCTTTCATCATCACGCTTGTTAAGATCCCTCGTATCATCCTGACCTACATCCACAGCCAGCTCAAAGGAAAGGTCAGTCTTAACGTTTGTTTCCTAAATAYAAACCCAAAGCTAGTGAGTATTATGTTTGCGTCATGTTAGCCTTATCTTTTTTTTTTATTTTCTTCATACTGCAGGAAAATGCCTGTGCTCGGTGCATGTTGAAGGCCTGTGTCTGCTGTCTGTGGTGTCTTGAGAAGTGTTTACAGTACTTGAATCAAGTAAGCTCTGGTAGCATCAAAGACAGAATATATCAAATCATTTAAAASCAAAATGTAAACGGTTCAAATGTTCAATTGTTTTAGAACGCCTATACTGCGACGGCCATCAACAGCACCGATTTCTGCACCTCAGCCTGTGAGGCTTTTGTGATCCTGGTGGAGAACGCTCTCCGAGTGGCAGCCATCAACACCGTGGGCGACTTTGTCCTCTTCCTGGGAAAGGTACCAGATTYAGGCACTGAAACGGTTGTGCTATAAAATGTGATCTATAGAACATTTATAGTAAAAATAATCTGCCTAAAAACAGTGGACGTAATGTACTGCAGAGCAGCATGTGCTGCCACCAAGTGGTCAAAGACATGTTTGCTCTGCTGTTGCTGCTATGTGGAGTTTAATAATCGCTGTCTTCGTTCTCAGATCATCATAGTCTCGTGCACAGCTTTTGCGGGCGTTCTGGCTCTGAATTATCAGAGGGACTACACGGTGTGGGTGCTGCCGCTCCTCATCGTTTGCCTGTTTGCGTTCCTTGTGGCCCACTGCTTCCTGTCTGTGTTTGAGAACGTGGTGGAYGTCCTCTTCCTCTGCTTTGCTGTGGACACTAAGTTTAACAACGGCAGCRTTGGACAAGAGTACTACATGGACAAGGCCTTGATGGTGAGACRTTGGAGGCTCGTTGTTGGTTTAGCATTAACTCCTGGTAAATTTTAGTCAAGATTTTWRTTTCTATTGAATCCTTTTGTCTTTTTCTAGGAATAYGTTGAGAATGCTAAGAAAATGGATAAGTACAAACCAAGTGCAGGGGGTGGGCAAGAAATGAAGCCCATGGTAAATTAAGAAAGAGACTTTACATTCCTAATAGTGTGGTTTGTGATGTTTACTTCTAACTCACAAGCAAATTATTTTTTTCTTTTTTGTCTTTCAGACACGTGGAGGGACTTCAGCTTGACCTACAATCCAACAGACTGAATAAAAAGATTTCATGTTGTTCCTACAGTTCACATGTTGCAGTAACTCAGCATAAACATAGGTCAAATATCAGTAAATGTAAAATATTTGAGTGACGCCATACAGGTGACACTGGGTTTCATGTTTTAAGAGAACATTTTTAATTATGACTTTGGACACTTTTAAAACAGTGGTGGAGGGAAGTATATTTGTTCTGATTTGTAATCATTAAGAATTGCTTCTTTGTTTTTCTTTGTTTGTCCTTTTTGCTGCTTTTAAATCTTTTTATGCATTTTTACCATGTTTGTTTATTACTTACAGTGTACATATTGGGGTTGTTTGGAAACTATACTTTTCAGTGATTGCTAACCAATTTTTCCAGTTGTTTGTTTTTCAAAAAACATGATGTGTTTGACTCATAAAAATTTTTTCTATAGAAAACAAACTGTGTTATTGCTTTGTTTGGTTCTCCACAGTCTGAACAGTAAAATTGTGGCTTGAAAGGAAATTGATTTTATGGATATTATGTTGCAACCATTCTTTTTTGAAACGTAGATCTTTTTTAAAGTAGTTTTTTTATGTTCCCTACAAAAACTGTATTTAAAAAACCAGAAATATTAGGGTTGTACAWTATCAGGAAAACCTGCGAGGTGCAATGATAGAGCTTAAAGCTGCAGTGTTGATGTCTTTGTGCTCTAGGTTCAGAGAAAAAAAAAACTAGTACCGGTACATCATTTTCATTACAACTTGACAGTTTTGCTTTAAAAAATGCAGCTACTCTAGTAGCAGAGAAACAACAGACTGCATGCAGTCCAGTTTCTCCTATAAAACATTTTCTGATGTTCTGCTTAAAAAAATCCTCTTTCTATATATTTTTAAATAAACAAAAACATTTAAAAATAAGTTTTAATAATTTTAAATGAAGGTTAACAAACCTAAATCCAACTGCAAATTATCTCATTGCAGTTGTCTAACATTGTCTCCACTGACCAAGCGGGGATGATTTGAAGTGGTCCATTTAGTTTATCAGACTGATGATGACAAACATTTATTGCAGTTGACCTTTATTTATTAATTTGTTTTTGAATATGCCTATATGATATATTTGCAACATATTGTGCAGCACTAATAAATATGAACTTTTTTAATCGTTTTGAAGGTTGAAGAACAAATTGACCACTTGAGGGCAGCAAATTCCCATGAAACAAATGAGATTTTGTTTGCAAAGAACCTGGAGCTGACGTCCTTAAAATGCCCCATGCCAGAAACTTCATTTTCTTATCATTTAATTAAGAAAATAAAACATTAAAATAAGGTTATTTCCATATTCTCAGAATATTTGGTTTGTTACTGCTGAATAAAAATATCACCGTGGCTGTAACTTTGGAGCCTTGTGTGTATTTTTACAACATTTATGTGTACAGATTTAAGATGTTTGTACTTATTTAAGTTTTTTTTTATCACAACTGAATTGGATTTGTTACATACTCAAATATTTTAAGTTCATTCAGGTTTTCCATCATTGTCTCCCTAATCTATCGATCTGTGCTTCTGTCTCATCCCTTTCAGTTAGTTGAACAGGCCAGAATCAAACCACCACAGACACAGTTAGTTCTTATTAATGGGATAGCTGTCTCTGCAATCTGCCATCCACATCCATAAAACACGGGAACCTGCAGGAAAGCAGCTTGATAGGAAGTTGGTGAGTCACACAGTGACTGGTACTGTTTTTTTTTTTGTAAACCAGCACACTGACCATTCCTGGAACCTTTTTGTTACAGGATAGGACGGGATGGAAGTACAGATTAGCCAAGCTGAACAAAGATTTATGGGTTTTGAACTGGCTAATTATGATCCTGATGAAATTTATTGTTCATAAGTCAGATGGTGAGTTAGTTATTGGAACTTGGTTTTTAAAAAGAGCAAAATTCATAAGATTTTAGATACGATTTTTTTTTAAAAGGAAAACTGTCTTGGGGAAATGTGTAAAACAATATTTGACTAAGTTAGACACAGCACCACAAAATCTGTTTTTTTTTATTTCTTCAGTAAATGTCTATTTTGGCTGGTTTATGATAATTTTATAGGTTTAACAGTAATTTATGTGTATTTCATTGATGTCAGTGTTTATATCATTGATTTTCTTATTCGAAATTCATGAAATGATTATTAGTTTATTAACATAAAATCTAAACATTTAAATTAGTTAGTAAATTGTTAACCATTTGACCTCTTTGGTCCACCTTTTATGCAAATGTTTATTGTTTATGCTCAACCAGCCAGTGTGTGATCATCATCACTGATTGACACTTTCTACCTCTTCAGCCTGGTCTGAAAGGCTAAAACATCTTCAGCTGAACCTAAATTCACCCCAAATGATAAGAACCTGCAAAAGAGACCAGAGTGATTCCAGTATATGAGTCCAGTTCATCTTTATAAAAACTATGATGGTGGACTGACACCACAGGTCAACAAAATCAACATCTCAGGTATGTGAAACCCCTCTAACTCCTTCACTGGTCTAAGCTCACCCTTCCCCCCAAATGCTTTTCTTTCCACGACCTTTCCCCTTTCTTCATTACATCGGGTCAAAAGGTCGAAGCCTCCTGAGATGTACGCTTTAGTTTCCTCTCACCCGAAGTCCATGCTGTACCTCTGCTATTTGCATCCCTTTCACCCACACAACCCACTGCTCTGAACGTAAGTCTTGAAATGACCTCACACGACATGGAAACAATATTTCATACCACAGCAGGCGTTAGAATTACAAATAATCAGCTCCTCCATCCGTCTGGGCCTAAAAACATGAAAATAAGTGAGTTACCAACTTCCATTTTGGTGTGTGGCTACATCTAGGCACTTCTTATTGAAAACTGGCAAAACAAATGATATATAATGTATAATAAATATTTTACAGCCCATTAAATGCACCCTAAAAGCAAAACTTGTGCAATTCTTCTTCTTTTTTTTTCCAAAGGTGCATTATCATTTGTCACACTTGTCAGGATGGCGATGATATGATGCCTGGAACTGATAGAAAACAATAACTCCRTGTAAAGTGAGATGTTTAAAATGCCCACAGAGTATATCATGTATAGGTGGCTGAAGAAATAAGCCTCAGTATTCACCGGAGAGTTGAGGTGATAAAAGAGCTTTCATCACAGACCATCGCTTATCCAAACCTGACTTCCGGACATCAAAAGTGCTTCCTGCAATTTGAGTCATTTCCCATCAGCTCTCAGTTCGTCCGTCTCGCAGTCCACACAGGCAAATCACATTTTTATTGTTGTTGAGCTGTCTCCAGCAGCAGGCTGCGGTGTTTGGAAATGAGCCACAAAGATGGTATCTCTCAGCATTTCTWTGGTCAGCACATAGAGGCGGAGGGAAAATGTGAGAAAATGAACATTTAATTTTTTTTTACCCAGCAGCTTTTCTGTCTGGCGCTACTGATGGGCCTCATTGCTAGCACACACACACACACACACACACACACACACACACACACACACACACACACACACNCACACACACACACACACACACACACACACACACACACACACACACACACACACACACACGTTTATCTGTTGTCCTGCGGGCCGCTTACATCAAGCCATGTTACACAAAACCTGCTAGGGTAAATTAAGTTTTTTTTTGTAGTTTGGATAAATGCATTAAACTTTACGTGAATGTGCACAGAGTGTCAGGATGATGTGACATTAAAAATGAACTTTTTCCCCATTTTATAATGTATTTTTCTTTCATAGAAAACAGCCATGTTCATCATAAACTCTAATAACCACCAGTAGAATATGTTATTTCTCTTTGCTATTTGGAGGAAACGGAAGTGACGCCTTTTCTCACTTCCCACATACTCAAAAATTTTTATCTAATTTTAAAGCAGAGCAAAGTGCCTTTTCCCTAAATATAAGCATGCAGATGAGGAACAGAAACTGTCAACGTTGAACTGAAACAAGACAAGTTTGCCGCAGCTTTTCTCGTGTCTGTTTTCCGAGTAAAAATACGTGACGATGGACATTTTGGTCAATATAGCTTTTTATTTCAGCAAATCATACATACACTGTAAAAAATGCATCTGTATCATCACCTAATATTATCAGAGCCGTGATGACAGTGTGTGATTGGTTGAGGAGTGGCTACAGTGTGCGAGGTCATGAAACAGGATTTGCATGTCGTCACACTCATCAGACGCCTTTAAGACTGAAACGTGTTCCTGCTAACAAAATGAATTTCAATTCAAAGTTAGGAAGGATGAAGAGAAAAAGAAAAGTACACAGCTCGATGGCACTTCTTGGGTCATAATGTAGTTATTTAAAAATGTATTTATTTTCTGATTGAAATAAGCCAAACGGGAGAAAAAAAATACTGCAAATTAACACAGGAGCAAAGCTTATCCCAGGTCTGCATGAACGTGACTTGATAACACGTCTGAGATCAGACATCTGGCAAATTCACACTATAAATAGTTACAGCAGAGGAGATTGAGCTACTGAAAGCAAACACTGTAAGATGATCGTCTTCTCAGAGAAAGCTGTCTAAAACAAAGCTTCCTGTTGCCAGTGTATAATCTATATAAAACATTTCCTATCCAGCAGAGACTAAGTGTTAATACGCCTTAACTGCTAAGCATCTGTGTGCTTCTCTACATTCTAGCTATCTTATGTAACAAACCAAAAGATGTAAAGCATGTCCTGGGAGACACCCCAAGCACACGGGCTTAACATTAAACCAATAGTTTTAAATCTTTTGAGGTGGGCTTCTGTGGAAAAGTTCAGAACAAATAAAAATATCTTACTTGTAACGATCAGAAAGTCTCTTTGACTGATTTCAGTTTGGAGAAAAAGAGTTCAACTAAAGTTTACTCACCCCTAGTTTATTACTTCTTAAAGGGTTCAGGTGCAGAGACCTGTGCTGCAGCCTTAAAACGACCTTTTGGGCCATTAAAATCAAATTAAAAAACAAAATCAAACGGGGGGTTCATGCATTATGTTTTAAACCTTTACAACACTGTCTGTTTTGCATTACACAATTAATCCAGTAGAAATATTTGGATATTTCTGCAGGAAGTGCCCCAGGCTGCACCTGAGGTGCTACAGCTAGTTGCTGCTGCCACTACTTGTGCTTGTAAAATTCAGTGTAAATAATTGTGTGATGTGAAACTGTGATGTAAAGGTTTAAAAAAACATTACTGGCATGAAGCGGAATGAAACTGGAATTTTAAAAGGAATCCATTCCACTTGGATTGGTCTTGATTCTATTCAGACTAGCCCTCAAAATGGAATTAAACCTTATGTCTCCAAACGGAGTTTGTTTAAAGACCTATCACCAAAAAGGTAAGAGAGTAATTGTTCAAAATTATTTCACAGAACTCCACCAAGATCTGAGCAATTTCTTCAGCAGTAAAGCCACTCCTATTCAGTGTCAAAGCAAGTTAAAATCAGTACAGTAAACATGCTTCTCCTTCTATCACCACCTGTCTTTACTAGTAAAAGGCACACCTCCCCCCTTAAACCCCACTCTCAACTCAAATTCAACAAGTCTGCATGGCTGTTCTTTATTTTTTTGTAACTGTGCAAGAGTTGATTTTATTCTTTTAAGCTGTKAGCTAAAATCACATTATATCAGCAAATATAAAAACATTAACAATCTATTTCCTTCTGAACTCTGTTAAGGTTTACTTTGAGCTCACTGGCCTGTACAAGTGTAATCTCATCTGTACACACTTCATGATTTTTTTTTTCTTTAACAACCTCAAGCTGTTTTTTTTTCTCCCTTGTTTGAGTTCCTAAAAGGTTTGGCCTCTGGTTCTACAGACTGAAACGACATCACGTAGTATAATACAGCTAAGACCGATCTGTTTCATCTTTCAGCATACATCTTACACTGGATTAGAAAAATAGATAACAATAAACCCCCCCTGGGCACCAAATTACCAAAAGACAAAACTGTATTTTTTGTTCCCTTTTCYGTACTTAGCCTCTGATAATTTGACTTGATCTGAGCCTCACCGAGAACTACTATAATGCTTTTTTTTTCATAAAAATTATCATTTGTTTAATTCTAATCCTTTCATTGAAGCTTGTCTAAGTGTTATCTTGTTTTTCCACAAAGTTACAGTCACAGTTAAAAAACGAGATCAAAAGAAACTTAAAGAACGCAGTATTTTCTTATCTACATCATCAACATCCCACCTATACACGGGAACAGTTTGATAAGGGTACAAAGAGATGAGGAAGATGGAGGGAAATCTCTTTAACGTTGCGCCTCAGGCATCAACACACTCGGGTATCAGAGTGCTGCACAAGGACACGAGACATCGCGAGACATGGGAGCGTCCAATGGGAAAAGGCCTTCTGCACAAGTGGACCAAACCCAAACGGATCGACTGGTCGCCAGTAAAATTTCTCGTTGACCGACACTCAAGTGTACAAGGATATTTACTACTTAAGCAGAAGGGGGGTTAAAAAAACATGAAAGGTTTTCTTGAAATACTTTTTTTTTTAACTGATGAAGAAAAAGTACACAGAGAAGAGTCCAAAGGCTGTTAGTAATTATTATGAATATTCTGCCCGGAGAGTCACCTAAAAACGTGCAATTTGACCAAATATACAGTTTTTTTGTTTGTTTGTTTTTTTTAGTTAACTTAAGACAGATATTCATCATTGTCATCATCGTCATCCTCATCTTCATCGTCCTCGTCGTCCATACCTGCCTGGTCGTTAGGGATAAATGAATCTTCATCGTCGTCCGTGAACAGTGAGTCCCCACTGCCCAGATCCCCAGAAGACTCCAAAATTACGCCTGGAAATTAAAGAATGAAACCAATGACACCAGGAAAGTAATATAACATTATAATAATACAATAATGACACATAATGTTGAAAAACATCACTAAATCAGGGTCAAACTTGGTTACCCGAGGTGGTCAAATTTTAAAACTTGGTCCAAACCAATGGGCAATTTCTGTCAGTATTTATTTTAAAAAATAACAAATTATTCTCTTAAAAATACAAATCTTTTTTACAAACTCTGTGAGTTGGACATTTAAGTGAAGAAAGTTTAAATTTATAAAGATATAATAATTATTTAAGAGTCCAACAATCAACTACCAAACTCTTTATCGGTCTTTTCTTCCATCTATAAGCACAGAAACCTGACACTGTACTCTTCAGGGTTTTGCTTTTGAGGTTTTTGCATACCGCAGTCTGCAGGGCCGTGCGTGCGCGAGCCTGCCACCTCGTTGCCGTAGCGATCCACACACCAGCACTGGCCACTGCTGCTGTGACACTGGTGGGACCTGTAGTAACCCTCCCCATCACAGGATGGCAGATACTGGCCTACGGGTTTGAACCAAAACACAGACGGACACACTGTGACTCAAAGAAGCACAAATGTTTGTGTTTTTTTTTTTTTTTTTTTTTTTTGGGGGGGGGGGGGGGGGGGGGGTGCACGAAGCTTCTTACCGAGTAACTTCTTCCCAGAAAGCTTTTTGTTGATACTGGAGAGCTCTGCTTTRCACGGTGAATCTGAAAGGGAGAGACAAACAAGCTGTAGATGTCTACTTTCCCATGTTTGAATGCTCTTTTCTTGTGCAGCTTTTTGTCCCTGTAATGATTTTTTTTAGCATCCCGCTGTTTCAGCTCATCATAAATAACGTTCTTTTGTTGCAGCAAAAGAAACAATTTACAATTTTCTCATGCTTCATGCAGTTTCCTTTCTCTGCATAGTGTTGCATTTTATTTTGCTTGGCCTTTGCTGTTCTGCCTGAAAAGAAGCCATCTTCATTGTTCGTTTCTGTGGAAATTATCAAAAAAAACATTTTTAAATAATACAACTGAGATCTTGTTTACAGAGTTTGGTCACTTTGGTTGGTTATGAAAAACATCACTGACCAGGGAAACGTATGGAATACAGCTGCTAACATTACTAAAAATGTGATTGACATAAGCATTTAGTTGGAGAGTTGACTTAGTAGATGGAAGGTCAAAGTAAAAAAAAAAACTAGTTGTGGTAACCTTGATTTTTAGGCAATAAAGGTAGATCACTAACCAACATAGAAGAAGGATGATTATCCAATTGCCTATTTATTTTTGTCTGTCTGTTGCAAAACTGGTCAACTTTTACTGAAACACAGAATGCAATCAATGGGTGCACATCAACTGATTATAATTTGGAGTCAACCTAATTCAAGATGAACCACAGCAGCTTGATCTTAGCAAAAACAAAAATAGCTACAACGATTTTTTTATAGGATCTGACCTAAAATTTGCTGTGGTAACAAATCAAATCAAACTCCAAGTGCTGACAGATTTAATTGAATCTTTGTTTAAAACCAGTTGATTAAAGTCTGAGAAAGTTCCCACTGGATTTACACATACAGGCTTTAAAGTCAACCCGAAACAAGATGGCTGCCAACGGTCATCCTGGTTCTCTGTTAGACTTTTATTACATTTTACTTTACTGGACTTCACAAATTAAGTTAGGTAGAACAAACTTAGGTTAACAAAACAATACGATGAGACAGAGAGAGATTGGCACATGGAAACAAAGACAAAAAGCAAACTGCATGAAAAATGTGATGCCAAGAACTCTGTTTACAAGAAATTATTTTTTACTTCACTTTTTATTTTTGTTTCTGAACAGATGMGTCTTAGAGGGATCATAAAGGGAGGGGATTCCTTAATAATTTATTGTGTGATTGGTCAGAAGTTYGTGGGAGTGTTTGTTCATGCTGAAAGCGCTCAAATGCTGCAKTTTGCTTCAACCTAGAGACTGTAGTTTTTTAAGGAAGCTGAATACTGTAAACATAAGGATCACGAGCCTTTTTTTTGTAAATGTTTGATTGAATCTGTCTTAACTTTCTCTATGGTTGCATGGTTTGGAAATTTAAGTGTTCARAATAAAAACTGCTTGAACAAAATTGTTATTGAGGCAAATAAGATAATCGGGGTAGCCAGTTTCCCCTTTATGATATTTTTATTTGTCAAATCGCCCAAAAAGCAAGGCTCATTTTACACTGCCCAGACCACCCTTTAAACCTGGAATTCCAGCTTCTTCCSTCTGGATGGAGGTTTAAGCTTCACAGGATTAAAAGTAATAGATGGAAGGACTCCTTTGTACACACCGCAAATAGATCTCTAAATTTGAAGTTTTAAATTTTATCTATATATAGATTTATAAATTGTTGCACAAAAATCTTCAATTTGCAGTCTGTATGCAATTTTGCACGTTTTTTACCAGCTCTGGGTTTATTTTAGGAGTTGTCTTTTGCAGCCGGGAAACAAAATCCAAAGGCCCACCTGTGTATCTCTGGAAGCCCGTGCACCATTCAGAGCTGGTTATGACTTTGTCGGGATGCGTATCACACGATTTAAAGAAGGCGTCAGAGCACGGCTCATTCCTGTCCAGATACAGGCTCTTAATCTCCGACTGGTCCAGCTGCAAGTCGAAATTTGTGTCCAGCCGGGAAAACATCCAGCCCAGGGGGTCCTTACAAACGGGTGACGCTCCGACTTCGAACTCTGTGGGGAACGTTTAAAAYGGGGAAAAGCAGATGAAGAAAGAAATGACCGCGCAATGATAAAACGGGAGAGACGTSGAGCTTTGTGACTCACTGTTCTTTTCTGGTTTTTGGATCTTGACTCTCTTGTGGTTGCCGTTCTCATGTAGCACTCTGAACCAGTCTCTCAGGCGACTCACCACCTCCTTCAGATCTGACTCGCTGCATACTGAGGAGGGAGAAAAGATAATTGATTGTTACAGTCATGCTTTACTTTCCTTCTGCTCCCGGAGATTAGGAGGCAGGGGTCAGCTGCCTCAAACTTCATTTAGATTCACTTGGACTGAAAATTTGCAATTTACTTGAAAAAGAAAAAAAAATCATACTGATTTGAACTTTTTTCACAAACTGCCTCGGTAGATTTACATTTGTACTCTTTCCATTTTTAGATGAAGGGAGAAGTTAATACTTTAACTCTGCTTTAAAACCTCTCAACAACTTTATCCCTGAGCTGTCTGGTGTGTTCCTTGGTCTTCATGATCACTTAARTTTTGTAACAATTCTGTGAGGACTTCATGAAACATACTGTGGTCAAATCACACRCAGGTGACCTCTATTTCTAGATTAGGTGACTCCCGTAGGCGGATAGTTGCACCAGATTATAGTTAGAGGTAACAAATGCATGCCCCACTTTTCAGATGTTTTTAACATCATTTGAAAACTATATTGAATTTTCCTTCTACTTCACAATTTCTGTTTGTCTGTCATATTAAATCCCAGTAAAATACTTCGAAGTGACTGTATCACTGTAATGTGGTAAAAGTTCAAGGGGTACTTTTTCAAGGCAGTGTATGTAGTCTTAAAC